TGTGGAGTGGAGGTTCAGTGGAGGTGGAGGTACGGACGATGCCGTAGACGGTGGTCTGCCCGGTGGTGGGGAGCGGCAACAGGTCGGTGAGGATGGCGGTGTCGAGCGCGGCGGTATTGATCTGAGTGTGGAGTGGAGGTGCAGTGAAGGTGGAGGTACGTACGATGCCGGAGACGGTAGTCTCCCCGGTGGTGGAGAGCGGCAACAGGTCGGTGAGGATGGCGGTGTCGAGCGCGGCGGTATTGATCTGAGTGTGGAGTGGAGGTTCAGTGGAGCTGGAGGTACGGACGATGCCGTAGACGGTGGTCTGCCCGGTGGTGGGGAGCGGCAACAGGTCGGTGAGGATGGCGGTGTCGAGCGCGGCGGTATTGATCTGAGTGTGGAGTGGAGGTGCAGTGAAGGTGGAGTTACGTACGATGCCGGAGACGGTGGTCTCCCCGGTGGTGGGGAGCGGCAACAGGTCGGTGAGGATGGCGGTGTCGAGCGCGGCGGTATTGATCTGAGTGTGGAGTGGAGGTGCAGTGAAGGTGGAGGTACGTATGATGCTGGAGACGGTGGTCTCCCCGGTGGTGGAGAGCGGCAACAGGTCGGTGAGGATGGCGGTGTCGAGCGCAGCGGTATTGATTTGAGTGTGGAGTGAAGGTGCAGTGGAGGTGGAGGTACGGACGATGCCGTAGACGGTGGTCTGCCCGGTGGTGGGGAGCGGCAACAGGTCGGTGAGGATAGCGGTGTCGAGGGCGGCGGTATTGATCTGAGTGTAGAGTGGAGGTGCAGTGGAGGTGGAGGTACGGACGATGCCGTAGACGGTGGTCTGCCCGGTGGTGGGGAGTGGCAACAGGTCGGTGAGGATGGCGGTGTCGAGCGCGGCGGTATTGATCTGAGTGTGGAGTGGAGATGCAGTGGAGGTGGAGGTACGGACGATGCCGTAGACGGGGGTCTGCCCGGTGGTGGGGAGCGGCGACAGGTCGGCGAGGATGGCGGTGGCGAGCGCGGCGGTATTGATCTGAGTGTGGAGTGGAGGTGCAGTGAAGGTGGAGGTACGTACGATGCCGGAGACGGTGGTCTCCCCAGTGGTGGAGAGCGGCAACAGGTCGGTGAGGATGGCGGTGTCGAGCGCGGCGGTATTGATCTGAGTGTGGAGTGGAGGTGCAGTGAAGGTGGAGGTACGTACGATGCCGGAGACGGTGGTCTCCCCGGTGGTGGAGAGCGGCAACAGGTCGGTGAGGATGGCGGTGACGAGCGCGGCGGTATTGATCTGAGTGTGGAGTGGAGGTGCAGTGGAGGTGGAGGTACGGACGATGCCGTAGACGGTGGTCTGCCCGGTGGTGGGGAGCGGCAACAGGTCGGTGAGGATGGCGGTGTCGAGCGCGGCGATATTGATCTGAGTGTGGAGTGGAGGTGCAGTGAAGGTGGAGGTACGTACGATGCCAAAGACGGTGGTCTCCCCGGTGGTGGAGAGCGGCAACAGGTCGGTGAGGATTGCGGTGACGAGCGCGGCGATATTGATCTGAGTGTGGAGTGGAGGTGCAGTGGAGGTGGAGGTACGGACGATGCCGTAGACGGTGGTCTGCCCGGTGGTGGGGAGCGGCAACAGGTCGGTGAGGATGGCGGTGTCGACCACGGCGGTATTAATCTGAGTGTGGAGTGGAGGTGCAGTGAAGGTGGAGTTACGTACGATGCCGGAGACGGTGGTCTCCCCGGTGGTGGAGAGCGGCAACAGGTCGGTGAGGATGGCGGTGTCGAGCGCGGCGGTGAGGTCGCGGCGGGCACATGGCGCGTGCCGCAGCCACCAGCGCTCGCTGTACGTGCCCAGCAACAGCCACGTGTACGCGCGCCCATACATCTCCAGCCTGCAATGTACACTCGCCTTTACCCTCGTGGTAGTCACGCTTCTTCGAAAAGCTGAAAGCTATATAGATACAGCGCGAATGGCTCGGCTCGCCTGGAGAAGGACCACGTCTGCATAAGAACATTAGCACAAACTAGCAGCAGCCTAACGCTTTCGTGTTTTGTATGTTGAAGGACGATGTAATGAGGCATTCCATTTTAGTTCTAGACAATGCGGGCGGTATCGAGGAGCACCGCTTTCTGAATTTGAGCTTGGTGCGGTCCATCACGGAGTACCAGTCGCCTCAGATGACCCGAGAGGCTGACTGGGATTAACCCGTTCGCAGAGACGACTACAGGTATAATTTCGGTCGGCAGTCCACCCCACATGTCGGTCACCTCGTGAGCCAGGTCCAGATATTTTGTTCGCTTATTTGTTTCGGCTTTCACGAGATTATCGTCATACTGAATGGTAATGTCGACCAAAATATCCTTGCCTGTGCCCGGTCCATCAGCACAATATCAGGCTTATTCGCAAGAATAGTCCTGTCTGTGATGATGGCCCGGTCCCAGTAGAGCCTGGCGCGGTCATTTTCGAGTACGACTTCCGGCAAGTACTTGTAATACGGCAATTTCTGGTCCACCAGACCGTATTTCAGAGCGAGCTCCTGATGTAGAATTCTGGCTGCTAAGTGGTGCCTGTGTAAGTACTCAGAGTTAGAAAGCGCCAAACAACCGGAGATGACATGCCTAAGTGACTCACCGGGATGGCAACAAGCTCGATAGATGATGACGGTGCCATCTCTTAGGATGTATCTTCGATACCTGTTGTTCTTAATAACCTGAACCTGTATCGCACAGACAATACCCAAAAAAAAGGCTCATGTAGAGCCTTGTGGAACCTACCGTGGAGCTTCTTCTCCTTTCATACGGTCTCCCGGTCGGAAATGCTCTGTACTGCCGGGTCCTGCCATTGCTCATTGGCTAAGGATAGAGGGGTAAGTCCTTTATCACAAGAAATGACGTCTATATAACGGATCATCCGCTCTCGCCAGAAAGTAATTACGGAGGCTGCACACTTCGCGATTATGCATGGTAAGCGCGCTCAAAAAGCCACGCCCACCATGTTTCCGCGGCAAGTACAGCCTCATAATCGACGATCTCGGGTGATGCATCCTATGGGACGTCATAATAGTGCGGACTTTTCTATCCAGGGCGTTAAGTTCAGTTTGAGTCCACCTAAGTATGCCAAAGGTATACCTTTGGCATACTTTGGCCTCGGAAAGGGTCCTTATGTTGATGGCCATAGATAAATTTATGTCCTCAGAGTTAGTAACCCTTACCGTTTTAACATGTACGGACCGTACACATATCCGTCCCCAGCTCCATTCTAATAGAATTACTAAATCACAAGTGATGTTTAGCAATTCCATAAGATGGGAGCGACTGGATGTGAATAATTCGAGATCATCCTTGTAGAAAATTTGGGTCACTTTTGTCCCTCCCTTTAGAAGCTAAAATCCCCTCCCGGAGTCCTCCAGTAAGGTACTGAGAGGGTTCAGGGAGAGGCTAAATCAGATTGGACTCAAACAATCGCCCTGGAAGATACCCCTTCTTATCCTTATGCGGCTTTCCGCATCCGTCATCCGCTCGCCTAGATGACAAAGGATTGTACTCCACTGCCCCATACACTGCCCGAGGAAGTCTCTAACTGTACAGTCAACCTTGTACATCTCGAGGATCCTCTTTAGCCATGCATGGGGCACCGAGTCGAATGCCTTTCTATAGTCTATCCAGGCGGCGGAGAAGTTCCGACGGTTGCGTTTAACCATTTTGTCAATGACTGCATCAATGAGGAGTGGTTCCTTGGTCCCATGGCCACCACCCCCGCATCCATTATGAGCACGCGACATCACCTGATTCAAACTCAAAATGGATGTCAGTGTCTTATAATAAATATCATAATTCTTAATTAGGTAAATCACGCGCGCGAGTGTCCCTTAGGCTTTACGTCTTTTCCCCTACCTACGTCACGGACGATATTTCGTGGTTACCAAGCCAAGGGCTTTCAACAAAGAGTAAAAACTACACTACGGATAAAGTAACTTGTGATTATTTATTTAATTTACAACTGTTTTACCTTAATTTAATGTCTCATATTTTTTACCATCTCTAAAGTAACGGTTATTAAATGGGATATATGAGTGTAAAATATTCTAAATGTAACGTATAATTTTAAGTAAATACTGAGAGGGAAAACATTTATACCGAGTGATAACACAAATCATAATAATATTTATAATCTAAACAATAAGTAATGATATTTATACAAGTATTTACAAAAAATATATTTACATAAACAGTGTTGAAACTTTGAAATTCACTAATATGTCGCTCACCTAAAACGCGCTAGCCCTTACTGCGTAGTGCGTATGCAACCTGAGGTTCTGCGCGATTGTAGGCATTTATTTGACGTAGGTAGCATGAATGACAGAGGCCTGACTAGAGGTTAAACGATCTGACTGAGGAAAAAGTGCCGGCGGGGACTAAAGTACGCTAATTCAATAAAAACCCTTATTTTCACACTACGATTCGTTCTTATATCGTAGAGTTTTTTCCATTGATTTATATGTCTTGTATAACTCAATGGTTTTTTCACGTTATATTGCACGACCAATATCCAGTCCCGGAACAATTATTTGTATTTTGTTGCGTGCGGAATTTCAACCAGTGACCCGCAACACTGCAGCCAAAAGCTACACACGATAAAGCCCACGATACCAAGCCTTTGAGCTATTGTATAGAACATTATAAAGTTACAGGCTTTATAAGTCCCACTGCTGGGCACAGGTCTCTAATTTCTAAGCGTGTTGGTGGACTTTACGTGCCTAAGAAATATTTTATCTCTCATGCAGGTTTCTTTACGATGTTTCCTTCACCGCGTACATAAATACACCAAAAAACATTACAGGAGGAAGGAGGAAAAACTTAAGGGATAGGTACATTAAGGCGGTCTTATTGCTAAAGAAATCTTTTCCAGATAAACTTAAGGTTAAAGGAAGAAAGGTAACTTAAGGTTAAAAGAAGGTCAGGAGAAGGAGGAGAAGAAGAATAAGAAGAATAAATCAACTAAAGCTATTATTATTTCTATACATTGCATAGAATAAAATATTTTACTTGTAAGCCTCGCAGAATATTCTCATTGCCCAAGTCTCGTTAAAGTTTCCGAGGATTATTCGGATGTCTCTCTCCTTGAGTTTGGCCAGCGCACTTCTGACTTCTGTTGCGAAACTCTGCGTCTCGTCTATTTCGAAGCCATGCACATCCAGGTCTGCCAGCAGACGGTTATGAGCCTGTAAAACAAAAAGATTTTATTAAGAATTAAGAGCCGTGGTAGCTCAGGAATTAAATGATCGCCGTAAATTTCACAAAATACAATCAACCCAGGTTCGACCCCGCCGGCACCAATGAAATTGTTAATTGAAATTTATCGTTCGTTCGTTCCAATTTCTGAACGGATAATGACAAAAGCAGCACTTTTTATACGGTGCCTGTAAAACTTTAAAAAATTTGCTCTTACTAAATACCTACTCTTGATGAGTATAACGAACAAATAATATGACTATTTTGCTTAAGAATCCGTCTAAGGAAATTTTAATTAACATCCTGTAAAAAGTGCTGCTTTAGTCATTATATTCTGTTAAAAGGACTATTTTGTGCAGTTTTCGCTCTGCCATCTTCGTCTGCATCACCACTTACCATCAGGCGGGATAGTAGTCAAGCACTGGTCTATATTAGTAAAAGAAGTGAACATTTACAAACTAAAACTTAACACTTGATAATTGGCACTGTATAATTAATAGAATCAAGCGTTTATTTGCAAAATCAATTATACCTAGTCAGGTCATAAGTATTGTCACACAGTAAAAACTTTTCTTTTAGAATGTTGGCCACAAAAAAGTTTATTGAATTCGAATTTCGAATTGTTCATGAAAATAAACTGTATATTTTTTAGAATTTTACTCATTTTTAAATATGGAGTGGACGCTTAAAGAAGACCGTGTTGCAGTTATTGCGTTGTATCGTGGCGGTTACGCGCCAATTCAAATTTTTGACATACTGAAAAATTTGAATATAACCAAAAGATTCGTTTATCGTACCATCAAACGATACAATGAAGACTCTAGTGTAGATGACAGGTCAAGAAGTGGTCGCCCTCGGTCTGTTAGGACTTCAGCAGTGATAAAAGCTGTGAAGGCGCGAATTCAAAGAAATCCCAAACGTAAGCAGAAACTGTTGGCCCTTCAGATGGGGTTAAGCAGAACCACGGTGAAAAGGGTGTTAAATGAAGACTTAGGGCTTCGGGCATATCGAAGAAAAACAGGACATCGTTTGAATGCTCGTCTAATGGACCTGAGACTGAAGAGATGCCGCGCTTTGTTGAATCGGTACGCGGGAAAAAATATCAGGGAATTCTTTTTTCGGATGAAAAATTTTTTACCGTAGAAGAGAGCTACAACAAACAAAATGATAAGGTGTACGCACACAGTCGTGAAGAAGCGAGCAACCGTATTCCGCGTGTCCAACGAGGTCATTTTCCATCCTCGCTCATGGTATGGTTGGGAGTTTCTTATTGGGGCTTAACAGAGGTACATTTTTGTGAGAAAGGTGTAAAAACGAATGCAGTTGTGTATCAAAATACAGTACTGACGAACCTTGTTGAACCTGTTTCTCATACCATGTTCAATAACAGGCACTGGGTATTCCAACAAGATTCGGAGCCAGCTCATAGAGCGAAGAGCACACAAGACTGGCTGGCGGCGCGTGAAATCGACTTCATCCGGCACGAAGACTGGTCCTCCTCCAGTCCAGATTTGAATCCGTTAGATTACAAGATATGGCAACACTTGGAGGAAAAGGCGTGCTCAAAGCCTCATCCCAATTTGGAGTCACTCAAGACATCCTTGATTAAGGCAGCCGCCGATATTGACATGGACCTCGTTCGTGCTGCGATAGACGACTGGCCGCGCAGATTGAAGGCCTGTATTCAAAATCACGGAGGTCATTTTGAATAAACTTTTGTGTATCAAAAGAATCTATGTTTTGTTAAGTTCATTTTGGTATATAAATGGTTACATAATGAATAAACTTGTGTCAATTATTTTATATTAAACATGTGACAGAATTTATGACCTAACTAGGTATTAAAGTTGGTAAAAAATTGTCTTACCTAGTTTTAAGAGCACCTCCCGGCCCTCTCTCAATTGCGAGCACTATCCCCGTTACCACTAATCCCAGCACCACTACTCCCAACACCACTACTCTAAGAAAGACACACCACTGACGACAATACGACACGTGTTTCGCACGCACTTTTTACTGGTAACGAGGTATTCCATCTTAGTCGTCAGGGGTGACAATGCTTCTGTTTTTATGCTTAATCGAGGATATATTTCTATGGGCCACAACATCCACTTACAATCAGGTGTACTATGTGCTCGTTTGTCACCCTTATTCTATAAGAAAGGGGTATAGAGAGTCAGTATAACTACAGGCTATGAGACACTTCATTTTAGTCATCAGTGGTGACAGCGCATCTGTAGTCTTTTTGTTTTAAGTTGGCTGAAGGTCTTCATGGACTACAGTAGCCACATTTTTTTTTATAGGAGCGGGGGGGGGCATACGAGCATGCGGCTCACCTGATGGTAAGTGACTACCGCCGCCCATGAACAACTGCAACACCAGGGAGGGAATTGCAGATGCGTTGCCGGCCTTTAAATTATATATATATATATATATATCCATCAGATAGACGAATGTTTGTTTATCACTTCAGTTTAATATATAAAAGAGTAGGGATTAGAAAAAAAATACCTATATTACATAGTTTTACTCATTATCAAATAATATAGATAGGTTTTATACGTGGTAGAGCCATACTGCAGCTGTATTAGTAGTATAGTTGTACCACGAATGGGTCGGCTCGACCGGGGAAGGACCACGCTCTCGCAGAATACCAGCTTCAAATAGCAGCTTAACACTGCTGTGTTTCGTATGGTGAGTGTAGAGAACCGGAGACCCTTTTTACTGGAAAAGAGGCATTCCATCTTAGTCCTCACGGGTGATAACGCATCTGCATTTTGATTCGTAAATGAGGATAAATGTGGATGTCTATGGGCCATAGCGACCACTTACCATCAGGTGGACTGTGTGCTCGTTTGTCACCCTATCCTATAAAAAAGGTGATGAAAGATTTTTACAGATATTATATAACTTAAAAAAGGGGAGAAGCTAAGGGAGGGGTTGATCTAAGCAGCTCTGGAAGGCAGCAACTCACACCACGCCACTAGATGAAACTGTTAACGTGTCAAACTCACCAAAGCATATCTCGGTTCGTTCTGGTAGATGGTTCCCACTCTCGTCCAGTTGAAGTGCTGCAGCACTCTGATACGGGGCAAATTGAAAGCGTTCTCCGAGGGCACGATACGGAAGAAGTTTGGAAACGCTTCCTTGGTGAACATCGGATGGGTGTCGGCATATGACAGCTGGAAACAATCATAAATTATAATGTCTTCCAGATCGAATTTCGGTCACGTCATAGACATCTGCGCAAGACTGCATTATAGCGCCGTGTATGCGCAAGAACAGGTGTATTCTCTATTCCCTCAATCTCATACTACGATAGGACGGCAACCGGAGAGAAATCAGACACAGGCTTTACGTGCTTTCCAATGACTGGCAGTGAAACTCCGCCAACTTCCTGACTCCGGGCTGCTAATAAGAATATTATATTGACAGAAAACTTAATGACTGATTTTTATTTAGGCCATACTCGAGATTCAAACCTAAAACTTCTTTATCAGCAGACACGTTTACGACCACCACTAGTCAGTCTAAGTAGTCAGAGAAATAAATTATCATACAAGACACTCACTGAAAATTAAGTACAGCAATTATAGCCCTAATAACATTAGGGAGTCAGGAACAACCGTATATACAACGTGTTCCGAAACTCAACGTCAAGCGGGCACGGGGCGAAATAGGTCATACCAGCCCCGAAAAAAATAAAAAAATCCATATCTGTTAGTTCAGTTGTAACTGACAAATTTATAAAAATGGGGAACATCGACGCCTTAAATTATATCATTAGGTATAGTCACCACAAATTGCTCAATTTTACAGTAACTTTTTCACTTGCGTGGTCTTAAATAAACGTACTTTAAAGGCAGTTACAAATCAAGCAAAAAAAATGTTGCCAGGTTAATTAAAATGAACGTAGTTTCTTTTCGTCGTAGTTGAAGAAATAAGATCACCTAACTTTGACTCTACATTAAAAAAAAACATACTATTTTAATTACTCAGACAGCTAGGTTTCCCCACCAAGTTCTCCCGCGTCATGATGAAATCTCACGGCTAGCTACACGGCCCTCGTATTTGTTTAGATACAATCCATAAAAACTGAAAAGAACCAGCCCTCTTATCAGCTGTGCCTCGCCAGCAACGCAAAATCAGTAAGTTACATTTAGAAAAAGGCAAAATTAGGGGCTTTTTAGGTGCTAAGTTTAAAAATTAGGTGCTCTAAAATTTTCACCGCAACGAACTGTTGAAATTTGCGTTGCTGGCAAAACGTATCGCTAGCAACGAAGTGACGATAATAGGTATACGATAAAAATATTAATAGCATTGACTAGATTCCTTAGTCGAAACAGCGAGAAGGCTTGGATGAAGGTCTTGGTCACTACTCACTATGGAAATTATGAAACAAATATCTCCAACCTCTTACTCTGCTCTCTGTACCATCGGAATATCCCACTGTTTTTGTTGGTCAAGCATGAATGCAAGCTCTATCAAATCGTCATCGCCATCGTCTACGTCATCGACATCGTCAACGTCAACTTCATCGCCATTGTCATCGTCATCAAAATCATTAATCGTCATCATAATTTTCATAATCATTGTCATCGTTGTCATCATCATAATCATCGTCATCGCCATCGCCATCGTTATCGTCATGGGTCATCTTTTGAAGTAATTTCCCTAAAATCTAGGGACTACCCTTTGACTAGGACTAGGGACTATGACTTCTTGAAATCTTTTTTTTTTATAGGATTGGGTAACAAACGAGCACACAGTCCACCTGATGGTAAGTGTTTGCTGTGGCCCATAGACATCTACATCTATCCGCGTTTGCGAATCAAAATGCAGATGCGTTGTCACCCGTGAGGACTAAGATGGAATGCCTCTTTTCCAGTAAAAAGGGTCTCCGGTTCTCTACACTCACCATACGAAACACAGCAGTGTTAAGCTGCTATTTTACGCTGGTATTCTGTGATAGCGTGGCCCTTCCCCGGTCGAGCCGACCCATTCGTGCTACAACTATACTACTAATATAGCTGCAGCATCGCTCTACCACGTATAACTATATTTTTTTTATAGAATAAGGATGACAAACGAGCACACAGTCCACCTGATGGTAAGTGGTTGCTGTGGCCCATAGACATCTACATCTATCCGCGTTTGCGAATCAAAATGCAGATGCGTTGTCACCCGTGAGGACTAAGATGGAATGCCTCTTTTCCAGTAAAATGGGTCTCCGGTTCTCTATACTCACCATACGAAACACAGCAGCATCAAACTGCTATTTTACGCTGGTATTCTGTGGATAGGATAAATGGGCCATCTTTTGAAGAAATTTGCTTAGGTTAGTATAGTAGCTTTTTTTTAATGAAGAGTCAAAGTTATGTGATTTTATTTTTTCAACTACGCATAAAAGAAACTACGTTAATTAAGTTAGCTTAGCAATATTTTTGTGCCTGATTTATGACTGCAATTAATAGCACGTTTATTTAAGACCACGGTAGACAAATGCTACTGTAAAATTAAAAAAAAATGTGGTCACAATACTAATGTGGTGATAATTATTTAGTATGTTGTCCTATTTCAATGATTTTATTTGTTAGAAAGGCTATCTCAGGTGTGATACAATCTAAATTTGTTCAAGATCTGAAGTTGGGATCTATGACATATGGGCAAATTATTGTTTCCTACTTCAACCGATTTCAATGTTTATATACGATTTAGTTCTTTGTAGTTTTACTTTTTACCCGACTGCCAGGGAAAGGTTACGTCTTTCGCGCGTGTGTGTTAATAAATTTCGTTATCGTTTTTTCCAAACGGCTGAATAGATTTCATTTAAGATTATTATAATTAGATTAAAATTAAGGTATCGTTTTTGTTACGGCCCTCAGTTGCCCCGACAGAAGTCGACTGGGCTAGGGCCCATCAGTAGCTCACTCGACGGGCAACCAGAAGATTCGGGCCCAAATGGCCTATGGATAATTATTAACTAATGGCTGATAAGCAAACACAACTTACTGAGTTCCGGAGGTAGGGTCGACCACAAGGCAAAGTCAGGTGGTAAGTAAGTGGATGTAAAGTGGTGTGTGAAAGTGTGTAGATAATACTGACGTCACCGATGTAATCTGACAGCAGACCCACAGGCGCTGCTTTTCTCCACAATGTGCGATCCCTCCAGTGGGCGTTCACCAATTGAGACTTTCTGCTTTTATTTCACTATATTAGTTTATCAATTTTATTATACATTTAATTAACTTCAAATTTAACTAAATCAACGTTAATCGAACTTAAAAACAAATGACACACTGCACAACTTAAGAACTGTCGGTCAAAGTTCAATGTCCCATGTTCACTTAGCACAAACTTATAATCGAGCACGAACGCGATCTCTTCTCGAGTCACAAAGTTTTAGCGTTCCACCCGACAAAGCAAAAATTCCTTCGTACGATATTAAAACGCCACACAAGCAACTCGTCGACGCAAATTAATGGCAACTGAAGTTAAGTTAATCACTCAAAACTCAAGACAAACCCCGTTATCACGTAAAACGCACAAAATCAGACAACGCTATCAGAGGCGGTCTTAACGCGACCTAACGTTCCGAGCGTAAATTCCAGGCCGTCTAACCGACACGGCGGCCGCGAACAATTAACACGTCAGGCGACCGAGCGGTCAGCCGAGAGACCCGCCCGGGAGAGGGGGCCGGCGGTGACCTTAAATTCCATCGAAAGGACACGCCCAGACGCGCGTCTTGAATGCAAGTTTTTAAAATGTTAATATTTGGCCTAAACAGTTTTATTCGTCTTAAAAACCCAAGTGTTCTTAGAAAGCTGATTGAAAAAGTAAACAAAATGGCGGATATTTGGCGCAAAATAGTAATTCATTAATAAAAAACATCTAACCTATCGAGTAAAAGGAAATTAAAATTATGTTACAAAAATATGCATAAGTTATATGTTTTTTTTTGTTTTGAATATGATTTTTATTTCCACATTTATTGTCAGTTCTATAATATATTCTTCCTGTTGGAGTGATACTGCTATGTTGACATTTGAAAAAGAATCTATCTAACACAAAATCTGGTATTTGCAATTTTAAAATGTCCTGGAATCTTTCAATGAAATCACTGTTGAGATTTTCCAAATGTTGGCAGTAGACAAGCAAGTCGTAGTTGTTGCAGGATACTGATAAATTGGGAAAATTATGGAACTCACGTCTGCCGATATTCTTCTTGTGTAAGAGCAGCTTGGCTACGAAAGCAGCGACGACATTTTTTGTTTTATTAAATTCAAGTCATCGCCTTGAAGTTGGAGATTAGGCAATTTATAAAGGTCTGTCAGGTATGCGATATCATTCCTTGATGTGATGAGGTTGTCGCGCAATTCTGTGTCTTTGTTTTCCAAGAGGTTTTCCAAGCACCTCAATTACAAAACCGGCATGCGTCGTTGTGAAACTTATAATGAGGAGTGTATTAAATACGGTCTCTTGTCGCTGGAATCTAGACGAGAATTACTTGATATGTGTTTTTTGCATGATATCCTTCACAGTAACATTTACAGTCCTAATCTTCTCGCAGGTATCCAGTTCTGCACTCCTAAGTACCGTACTAGAAAGACCCCACTTTTCAATGTACCTAAACATCGTACCAAATACGGTATGAACGCTGTCATGACTCGTCTACCCAAAATTTATAATAGTAAATATAGTAATGTTGATATTTTCAATTTTTCTAAGTCTAACTTTAAACACAAACTTATCCTGAAGCTGTCTAAGAAGCAGTAACAATTCTGTAAAAATAACAATTTGGAAATCATGTCGTTATATTAGTTATAATAGAACTATAAGGTATACAAAATAACATGTAACATATTTATTTTATGTATTTATATTATTTATTCTATTTTATTTTATTTAGTGAATATCATTTTATTTTTGTTGTTTTATTAATTTTATTAAAAGCTGTCATCTTAAATTTAAATTTAAATCTAAACATAAATGTATACAAATCACAAAATATAGAACCATATACTGCAATCGTGTGTAAAATATTATGTATTTAGATAAAATGTATTAAGTTACAATTTTACCTCTCTGCTTTGTAAGTGTTATTCAGCATGTTGTGAAACTCTGTTATTGGCTAAGTGTGTTAATATGTATTTTAAGTATGATTGTTAGAAATATGCTGTTGAGTTTCCTAATAAAAAAAAAAAAAAAAGAACTCTACGACAGAGACAAACAGATTGTAAAATCGAGTCAGACAATTTCCTTTTGATAGCCAACGCACTTCTGTGTGAAAGATCAATCGGTCGAAATCTTCATCATTAGTAACACAAAACTGATTAAATAATCTGTCATTTAAAGAGTTGTTTCGGATTTTATTGACTGCTCTGATGACATGTTGCAATGATTATAATTACTAATGACAGGGCGCGGACCGCGAACTCGAAAGGTCGTGGGTTAGAATCTGCCATTCGACTACTGTCGTGAACCACTTCTAACACAAGCATTTTAAGCTTAGCAGAAGTGGTTAAAGGGAATATTAATGTTTGATAGCATTACTAGTATTTTATTAAAAAAAAAAATGTTGCAATGATTGACACAGTCGTTCACTTCTAGCAACCAAATGTTGTCGATGTATAACGCAATGTATAGCAAGCAGAACATCTTAAATTTTGTTTTTTAAGTACGATATGAAGCCTTTTTGGCACCCGTCATAGCTGGAGCACCGTTTCATCAATTCATATTTGCACAGAACTATTGCTCAAAGGAATTTTTCGAATTATTTCTGCCGCCGGTTTATGGAGCACAGTAGTTATAACTTCTTTTATTGCCGGCGAAATTAACGTTTTTCCGATGGTATGTGGTTTACCTATTTGAGCAATTAACAAAGAGATATTGTATGAAGCTCGAAGTCCCTCATCGTCTTGCATAGCAGTCATCGAAAAAAGCTTTGATGTACTTTGCTCAGCATTATGTTTCTTTTCCAGGTCTTTAAAACAGGCTACATTTTTGTCTTTCTCATCTGGATGCATTTTATTCAAATGATCTTGAAGTCTTGAAGGCTTCATCGCTTAGTTTGAAAATGTTTTTGAACAATGAAGGCAAAGATGGATTTGTCGAATTTTCTAAGAATCCATATTTAATATATTCTGCACTACACTACAATATTGCCGTCTCTTCTTTTTTGCTTCTACTGTAAGTTAATTGTACTATGCCTATATCCTTTGCGAAAGTGCAAGCATTATGTTGACAAAGTATTACCGCAATCTAATTAACGGTTTGGCAGCGCATAAAATACGAACAAACAAATATACATTTTTATATTTTAGATGGTGACAGTCGAGCAAACAATCAAAAAATTGCTGCTGTATCCAAATACACCTACATCCATCCTCTAGTAAGAATCAATATGTAGGTGCATTGTCACAGTTCTTCAACTTACGATACAACATACGAAATACAGCAGCATTAGGTAGCTAGTCAAATAGCTGGTATGCTGTGAGACTTCGTCTTTCCCCGGTGGAGCCAACCCATTCGTGCGGCAAACGTAATATATCTGCATCGTGGCTTTATCACGTTTAGATAAAATAAAAACTTATTAACCTGAGTAAGGTGCCAGTGTTTGGATGCCTTCGCGATGGGATCGGTGACGTGGGTGCAAGCGGCGCCGAACAGCATCAACTTGTGTGGACCGCTGTGCATCATGTCGAAGAAAGACTTCACGCCAACAGCTGCATTGCACTGTTAAACACCGTAGTATTTAGAAAAACATAACGGAACAAAATGGTAGAGGAAAACACAATGTACATATTTTACATACCTACATAGGTACAGTTAAATAAAAAGAAAGAAGAAAATAAGAAGTGTATATCTGAATCGAGTGTGCGGCAGAGTCGGCGCCGGTGTCGACGTCCTGGACGGAAGGCTATCGACCAAATTGGCAATATATTAAAAAGAAACTATTGGTAAATCCGATTGTGCATGCCCTAAGCGCATTAAAAAATACTTATGACATGATTATACGGAATTTTTAAAAGTAGTTTAAATACACACAAGTTTTCACTAATAACCTTATTATACTTCCAATTTTCCGATAATTTTATGTCAAACTTCAAGTTTAAAAAAAATTGTAAAATCCAAAAGTGCACGACTCATAATGCTCATATGATCATCATATCATCATTCAGGTTACTCCATAAAGTCCAAGACGTATTTAAGTATAAATATTACATCCTACTTACTTTTAGTATGTACTACTATTATTTATTCTGTGCTTTTAAAATATTGTAATAAAAATCTCTGATTATTATAATAATCTAGTATGTATGAAGTTTGGTTTTTCGAATATTTTGTATTCGAACAGCGATCTTTTTGAGCCGCTGCAAACAACTGATACAGTATCCATTCACGACGGCGGTTGACGCCGAACTAACTGAGCGAGTGAGGCAGTCTATTTAGTAAAATAAATTCATACAAGGCTGCTAAAACAATTTCGACATTTCGCAACCGAAAATAAAAATAATTATAACTAAACAAAACAAAATTAAAATGCCATTTAGAGTTTTAAAAGTTTTAAAAATAGATTGGTTGAACAATTGATATTTTCAAAAGTTATCGTGTTTACGGCGCCATGCGGACTTGATAAATCCACACCATAAGCCACTAACACCCCATTTTTTATGTAAAAATAGCAATTAATCGATTTAAAAAATATTTTAATAAGTTCAACAATCATTTATCTTTCTGACAATGTGCTTTTTATATCATTTATATTTATAATATGATTGCTAGAAAATATTTCATGCGACAAAACGTTGGAATCTTAATTTATAGGCCTTAGCAGAACATACATGCGCGCTTTGCGCTTAAGGCATGCAATTGGCTAAATGAAAGACCTAAAGTATAGTAATCTCTGCCTACCCCTATGCATGACAGAGGTGAGAGTTTATGAATGTATGTATGAATCTCCTTGTTAAAAAAAGTAAATTTATGGAGGGGTTTACCAGTTTAGTTTAACCCATACCTCAGTGTCGTTCCACCACATGTGCAAGCGGTAGTTGCGGAGCACGGAGTCGTGCTCGTTGACGTGGTCCAGCGCCAACTTGACGCTTGGCATCACCCCACGACCTACAGCGGTGTTAACATCGCTTTGGTACAATGTTCTTACACACATTTTTTTATAGAATGTGGGTGACAAACGAACACTCAGTTCACCTTATGGTAAATGGATGAATGCTGTGGCCCATAGATTTCCACATTTATCTTCGATTAAGAACCAAACTGAAGATGCGTTGTCACTCCCGAGGACTAAGATTGAATGCCTCGTTTCCAGGTAAAAGAGGTTTCCGCTTTTTATTATGTTATATTATTATTATCATGTTAGTTATAGTATACATTTTTGTGTTTTTGTCTCTGTCCTCCTTCCAGTTTTGGTTTTATAGGGCGGCAGAGCTTAAGGTGGCGATATTACCCTCACCTAAATTAAAATTAGTTTAGTCTACGATGCTAAAATGAGGACATGGTTCTTCTCCGGTCGAACTAACCCATTCGTGTGTGGCTCTATCATGAATAAAATCTTCTTCTTCTTGTTCTTGATAATATACCAAATATTTGAACATCTTCTTTTGTAGTTTTCTTAGTTTAAAATCTGTTTTGTTTTCCTAAGTCTGTATTAACACTTTACCATCAAAGTTAGAGTATACGTTTATTTGTCACTTTAGCTCCCAAGCGGATGAACCGATTTAGATTTAGTTTTTTTTGGTTTGAAAGGTGACTTCATCAAGATTGTTCTTAGCTATGATTCAAGAAAAAAAATTCTGCTATTTTTTATAGGATAGGGTGGCAAACGAGCACACAGTCCACCTGATGGTATGTGGTTGCTGTAACCCATAGACATCCACATCTATTCCCAATAAAGAAGCAAACTGCAGATGCGTTGTCACCCGTGAGGACTAAGATGGAATGCCTCTTTTCCAGTAAAAAGGGACTCCGGTTCTCTATACTCACCATGCGAAACACAGTAGTGTTAAGCTATTGAATATCATCAGCTCTTTTTCAAAGACAGACACACAGACACTACACATACACACGTTAAACATATAAGACCCCTCTTTTTCGTTGGGGCTTAAAAAAGAATATCCCTAGCAGTGGAGTAACGTGCATCCGCTGGTATTCTGTGAGAAGTAAAGTGAAGTGGCCTTTTTGTTTATTTGCTTAAGATACTGCTGCCCATCTCCTGTTTGATTTTCCTCTGTCACCACTTACGACTCCCGCGGGTAGTGGATTCTTTTACGCCGCCCCTACATGGTGTACGACACATACATGTTGTGTAAACATACACCAATTTTACAAAAGTTACATTCATTTGAATGTAACTTTTGTAAAATTCGACGTAGTACCTTATGTGAAATGGCTCTTTTTCTGCCTAGCATTCTTTGTAGGTTGACATTAATTTCTTAGCGAACCTATTTTAATGCCATGAAATTGCACATTGACTACTGTGTGTTGACTCGTAGGGTTAAGGGAACTAGTATTATTACAACCATAGAATACTATAATATATACGTATACAACCCATGACCCATTTCGTCTTAGTGATTAGGGTGACAAAGCATTAATGAAATTCTTTGTTTAATTTCTTTTTTAGATTGGAAAGGGTAACAAAAGAGCACACAATCCATATGTTGATTAGTGGATACTGTGGTCTATACACATCTAAATTTAGTATCGATTTCGGATCAAAATGCACATCCCTTCAGGACTAAAATGGAATGCCTCGTCACCACACTAAAAAGGGTCTTAGGTTCCCTAATCCCACCATGCGAAACAACACCATCACACTGCCATTTTACGCTGGTATTCTGGTAGTTGTTGTTTTCCAGTTGAGCCGAACCTTTCCTGTCATAAGACAGCTGCAGCGTGGCTCAGCCAAGTATAAGCAATTGATTACAGGCAGACACACATTTGCAGTAGTCATAAGTGACCTTGTAGCTAAAACGTCACTTTTATTATTAAAAAAGACACGGGATCGATAGCAATATTGGCTTCTATGAAGGAAGAAGATGAAGGTTTAAGGAGGGTGGAGGTGGAGGCATCAAAGTGCCTGTATCAAAATTTATCGAGGGGTCCAAATGAAGGGTAAAGATTTTTCACAAAAGGAACAAAAACTCTAGCATTGAATTAAAATAATTATATATTGATTATAACTTATTACTTACAATTAATATTTCTAGGAACTAAGCTAGCCAAACAATTTAAACTAACATCCTGTCCCATAGAAGTCCTTAGAATGTTTGCTTACATTTAACAGCGGTAGAGCCACGCGGCAGCTTTTGCTGTCGCACGCATGGGCCGGCTCGAACCGGGGTGGTACCACGACCTCACAGAATACCAGCGTGAAGTAGAGGTTTACCTCTGCGTTTCGCTTGGTGAGTGCAGGTGGCCGGAGGCCCTTTTTACTGGAAATGAGGCATTCCATCTTAGTCCTCACGGGTGACAACGCATCCGCATTTTGATTTGTAATAGAGGATAGATGTAGATGTCAATGGGCCGCAGCAACCACGTACCATCAGGTGGACTGTGTGCTCGTTTGTCACCCTTATCCTATAAAAAAAAACATACGTTCGGGGCCCTTGTAGCCCGGGGGCCCCGTATCATTGATACGGCTGATACGGCGGTAACAACGCCCCTGATCCCTAGCAATCTTGCCTAGCATGTCTGTTAAAATGTGGTGACGAATTATCTTGGAATAGTCATATACCTACTCACTTTTACTAAGTATAACTTTAGCATAATTCTGAATTTAAATTAGTTGTAAATAGATACCAGTATTTGAATTCTCTACGCCCTTGCCGAAGGGGAAGAAGCCAGCGATGTATACGTCCGTTCTTCTGTTAAGGATCGCATCCAGATTCGGTTTCTGTGGTAGACCCACGCTCAAGGTCACTACCGTCAGCAGGAGCAGTAGCATCTTGACAACTGGAAGATAGATTTTTTAATTTATAAAAGTGTAATAACTTCTTTCTTCTGACGTGACGACAGAGCCACCAGAGAAGGCAGTGTTTCCCTTAATTGCCACGCTTGGGAGGCAGGTTTGGACCTTTGATGCAGTTCGTTGTCGACGATCTGGGTGTTTCACATATCGCGTAGGTATAAGAACTACCGTGTAGTGGCGGTGTAAGTATATCCACTATCCCATATCATCCCGTCATCATCATCATCATTACAGCCCTTCACAAGTCCACTGCTGAACATAGACCTCCCCCAAGGAATGCCACAAAGCACGGTCCTGAGCCACCTGCATCCATCGACTTTCTGCATATCTTACCAGGTCGTCACTCCATCTAGTTGGGGGACGCCCTACACCTCGTCCGCCGGTACGAGGCCGCCACTCGAGAACCTTATTTCCCATTGCCACTTCAGCTTCCTAATCCGTTGGGCTATGTCGGTCGCTCTGGTTCTACTGCGGATAGCCTCATTTCTAAGTTTATCACGCAGAGAAACTCCGAGCATAGCCCTCTCCATAGCTCGCTGAGCGACCTTGAGCTTCCTCATCCGGCCAGCAGTGAAGGACCACGTCTCAGTTCCATATGTCATCACTGGCAACACGCACTGGTTGTACAGTCTCGATTTCAAGTTTTGAGGTATACCTGGCGAGAAGATGTGCCGTAATTTCCCGAACGCTGCCCAACCGAATCGAATCCGTCGATTGACCTCTCGTTCGAAGTTGGACTTACTTAGTCGGAGTATTTGTCCCAGGTAAACATACTCGTCAACAACTTCGAGCTTAGTGCTTCCCAAACTACTGGCATAGGTGTGACATGGACATTAAACATGATCTTTGTTTTGTCCATGTTCATCTTAAGACCTATCCGTTGGGAAACACTATTGAGGTCATTGAGCATAGTGCTTAGGTCCTCCAGCGATTCTGCCATAAGAACTATATCGTCGTCAAATCGAAGGTGAGTGATGTACTCGCCATTGATGTTGATACCGTAATCTTTCCAGTCCAGAGGCTTGAAAACTTCTTCCAATGCAGCGGTGAAGAGTTTCGGGGATATGACGTCACCCTGGCTTACACCTCTCTGCAATTGGATAGGTTTCGTACTCTGGTTCTGTACTCGGATAGCCATTGTAGCCCTACTGTACAAGCACTTCAACACTTCGATATACCGACAGTCAACTTGGCACCGCTGAAGGGACTGCAGCACCGCCCAAATTTCGACGGAATCAAAGGCTTTCTCATAGTCCACATACGCCAGACATAGTGGCAAATTGTACTCCTCGGACTTCTGTACAATTTGCCGAAGGGTATGCATGTGGTCTATGGTGCTAAATACTTTTCGGGAACCGGGAAATATCATACCGTGGCTGTCGTAAAAGGGCAACAAATCAGGGAACAAATCAGAAGATGGGCAACAACGTCTTCCTAAGAATGACTAAAAAATAAAACTGCGTAATCCGCTTGCCAAGCGAGGCAACTATTGCATATATCTGAACTTTAATAGGCTGTAACGGTAACGGTATTAGAACTCCCGTTGATGGTGGAGTAAGAGAATCATTCATACCATTTAGTGCTGTGGGTGTCGTAAGGGGCGACTATGGGAAATGCCTAAATTATGTCATGACTTCCTGGTTGGTTATACTAACAATCACATTTTACTAATACCGGCGATGGACAGATGCGTCAAAGGCGAAATGCTTGAACGGCATTGGACAATACAAGTGGATAGAGCGACTAGGTGAAGGAAAAATCCTCCCAACAACGGAAGAGGCTCATGTACAGTGGACTTTCACGGGCTGATGAGGATCTATAGATATATATGTATTATAATTCTTCTGTCCGTGTGTATGTGACTGAACTTCTCCTAAACGGCTGGACCGATTTTGATGAAATTTTGCGTGTGTATGTGAGTGTTTGTGTGTGTGATTAAGTTGATTCGAGAATGTGGAAGTGGTGCTGTTGCTCAGACCAGAAATCAGCCGTATGAAGCTGGGGCGAAACGCTAGAATATTATTATATTTTAATTAGGTACTTATTTTTACTTATGAAATATACAATGTACAGACACCGGCTATTTACATTTTTATTAAGTGTATCTCTTGATATTAGATGAAGGGTGACGAATTATTTGTTACCAGACAGAGAATCGTAATATATACAACATGTAACTA